TGTGCGTCTAAAGCTCATTCCATCTTACGTTATTTTCTCATTTATTCATTCTTTTTTTGTTTTCAGAGGAGAAGATTCTTTATCGAAGCTCACGGCCCACCAGACACGTCAAAAATAGTACTATATACAAACAGTTACAAAAAGTACGTTCAATAATCAATGAAGATGATTGTGATTAACTTTATGAGGAGGGGAGGGGGGATTTAATTTAGCGCAAACGTCTAGTCCCTAAACAACATCTCTGCCGTAATCCGGTTTCAATCTTTTTTGGCGTCATTTAGACTTGATGCATTGGTCCTACTTGCGATATATAGGTATATGTATTAATACAAATAGATCTTCCATAATTTAAGATGTCGGCGGTAGAGGTATATAGGTCCTTGCGGTCAAAGTTAGAACAGCAATGGATAAACCCTATGTCCGTAATCAGTTTAAAGTGCCTATGACGCCTGACAAAATAATTCTGATTCTCTGTGAGCCGATTCTATATAAAATAAATAATTGAATGGTGAAATATTCCTGCATTTCAGTGTTGCGTCTTTGAGTTATGAAGGTTCAATTTCGTTTGCAATATGCATGGTAATGAAAATGACGTCAAAGAAGGCTTCATTATATATACGAACTTTGAAGGCGAACTTTGAACTTTGTCAGGCGTCATAGGCACTTAAAGTTCATTGTATGGACTCGCTGGAGACTCTCTAGAGAAATTCGAAAGGTCAGTAGCCGTAGGGTGGTGTGACCAGTGGGCACCAATAGGAAGTCTTTTCCTGGATCACCGTCGATATGGCTCCTGTGACGTCATCTGTAAACCACCAAAGCATAATAGAATCCTACATAGAAGGCGAGACCGAAATGACTCATGGGAAAACATAATAGAATCCTACATAGAAGCTGAGACCGAAATGGCTCATGGGAAATCATAATAGAATCCTACATAGAAGCTGAGACCGAAATGACTCATGGGAAAACATAATCGCATCCTACATAGAAGCTGAGACCGAAATGACTCATGGGAAATCATAAGAGAATCCTACATACAAGCTGAGACCGATATAGTTCATGGGAAGTGTGTTGTAATGTGTATTGATACAAATAAGAGGTGCTTATTTTAGCGAAGGAAGTAGCTAAATTACCCTCATTTTTCATCTTATACTGACTGTAGGTTTTGCGTTTATAAATAAATTATTTGCTCCAGTAATGCGATTTCCCATATAACCTTTCGGTATTTATTTTACCTTTTTTGCTTATAGGTACTAGACAAGAGCAATTTTATTCACACGTTATGTGCGAAATAGTTCAACTCATAACCTTTGCAGGTGTTCGCACTTAGACTCGTATCGTCTTGACTTAGTTCTTTAAATAAATTAAGCTTAATTTCCACAAATTATTCTAATCTCTTTATTCCCTGCATGGACCGGATTAGCATTTAGTTATTTTCTGAGCAAAACACATTTCTATACGCACCTGGCTTACGGCTCAGTTTTTTACAAAATATATATATAAATATACGCCGATGAGCGAGTAAATGTTTGAAGACATCGTCTGTCGCTAGGTTACAAGTACTTCCCCTTTCCGTTGGCGAGTGTAAWTTTCAATTCCAGTTGTCTACATTTGAATTTTCTGCGTCGTGGCTTAAATTCGCGACTAATTCAGCGTTCAAAAGGCTACAAGGTTTGTTCTGGTTAGAATAGCTACTACAGAGGCCATAGCACTTAAGGGTAAAAACATGGAGGTCAAAGGGTTTGAGGATTTTTATCGGGTAAGAGAAATGTCTTTTTCGTTCTGAATCAAAYTCTATCTAATTAGCGCGAAAAGTACTGATGGYTTTGCGTTATTGAGTCTTTATGTAACGASCAATTGTAATTTCAGTTTCGTATGTTTTTAAAGTCAGTACAGTATTAATGAAATTGCCGCATTTATCAGGTTGTCTTTTTGATACTTGGTAATGTTTATTTATAGTCAACAAATCCTTGTTGATTAACGATAGTTTGTTTAGCRCTTCCTCCTATTTTCATAAATTATTCTGGACTTCTAGTCGATGAAATAAAGTTTAGCCTTATAATATACATTCCCATTTTAGCTAAATTTCGTCTCCAAGATTCAACAGTGCTTCTACTCGAACCAAGGCCTCCTCTTTTAATTTCYCGCTCAATGATTCGAATAACTTGAAASTCTTTCTCTYTWAAGACGAATCATCGAATCGAAATCTGTCATAATTTACAGCAATTATCATATAATCACACAGTTGACATTCGAAACTAGAAGTTTATTAGTGTGACTAGTAAGCTAAGCCTCCCCAACCAACGAGAAACTGGTCTTTGATCACTGAGCCTGGGCAACAATACATAGTGATGGTCATGTCTAAATTCAGCATGATATCAGTCGCCACAATAAAGAAGAAGGAATTCTAGATTTATTTTAGGAATATATATCTAGAAGGCTAGAAACTTTATCCAGAATACCWTTAAATAAGGTGGCCAAAATAATCACCATGTTGAGTCGCCAAGTGTTGCACAGGCTTTGGACATCCCACTATTTCTCGTTTGTCTGACTGTTGTTTAACTAATGAAGTTATGTTTGTCTTACATTTTAACGTTATGTTTCAGGTCTCGCTATCTTCTWAAAATGTGCACATCGTTCTATAAATTCCAAATGATGATGGGATTGAAGTTAACTACCTTACGTGAATTTCCTTCAGATGGTCGTAAGTACATCATTTCAAAGTATTGTCTTTATTATAGTTTCATTTATTTATTCTTAAGAATCATGGGTAAAATGATACCTCTTTGTACTGCTTTGTGTTTGCGTCGCTCCTTCAACGAATTGGCGTCATCCGAGCGGGATAAAACACATAGGCCTGAGACGCAGGACTATGGRTGACGTACAACGACATTTAAGATAGCGTTCAAAATGCCAGAGCGTTTTTTTTTTTTAATTATAAACAATGTTTTGGATAGAATGGCGATTTGAAACGACTTCCAAGCGGGAACTATGTGCATTGAACATGATGAATAAGACCCTATGGTGGTTATTAGAGAGGGCTATGAATATTTTGTAAGGTTCTAATCCAGGTATCATGTTGATAATAAAATAAGCAGCTAAACAGTGTGGTTTTCGAGATTCGTTGTAATTGGTRACATTTTGGACAATATAGGACTATTATGAATGGCAAGACACGTTGTTGAATAGTTTAGTGGTCGATTATAACTTCAATTTTGTTTCGCTTACATTATGTTATATAAATAGGAATGGATTGTTATCTTTTTGTGCGTAAGTTTCTCTAAAACGTTTTTTTTTTCCTTAAAGCATAGTAATAAGCAGAATTTCATAGACTTAAGTGTGAGAACTAGAGCGGTTCAAAGGCTGACTCACCAATRACGAGTTTTTGCGTTTCGTTTTGTTTTAATTCTTATTTTGGCTTATCACTGCCTAGTTCCCTATTGGTCAGCTTATGGGCACAAGTGTCCCCTACAAGTTTACATTCTAAAGCTCTAAGAAAWATGCTAGTTTCCTTCATATTTAGATTTCCAGATACATGTAGTTTTAACATTGTCATAGCCGACCCCTGGTAAACGTGGTGCTGAGAGGGTACTKKGCAGGAAYACTTACAAAGCAATCAAAACAATGGCTGTCTATTTTGGTTTTGTTTTGTCGAATAATATCAAAATTTCAGCCGACTATTAATCATAAAAAGTCTGACTCACGCTTCGTGCGGGCTTAAACATATTTCTGCACAAATTAATTGWACAWATCCACCTTGGGAGCGGCTGACGCAGTCACTGACGCATCTTTAGCGTACAATCCAAGCTTTCATAGCAACTTATTTTGCAAAGTATCTGTTTGCCTTGGCGGTGAAGTTGTACTTTGATCAATATGTACGTGAATCAGACGATTTATTCAAAAAGATGGCGACTACGTAAGTTTGATCTCAACTAGTGCTGGGCATTGCGCGCTGATTACTTAATTTGCAAATCGGATCAATTTTAATTCCTAAGATACATAATCTTGAGAAACAAATGGTGCAAGACTATTTGCGGATTTATTTCCGCAGCTTGCTCTGCTAGAAACATGTTTATTTTACGCAAGTTTTCCGTTTTCTACTCATAAGATAAAAAGGATTTTTGTTTGCATTAAGAAGAAACATGCGTTTCTTTTCGAGAACTCCTCAAAAACAAGCAGAATACATTCTATTTAGTCAATGCATTAAAACTTACAAACGCTGCTCCTTAACCAGGATTTAAAAAGATTATATTRCATCGATTTACGCGTAAAAAAATGAAGAACAAATGTTCTTTGAGGTGAATTTTGATCYGTATCAGTATTTCTTTTAAATAATTTATTTCCCGAGGTTTCACTGAAACTTCAAATATTTTATCCTTAAAAATTCAATGAACTCGAAAAGAAACATGAATTCATAGTTGACATAAAGCCAAACTATTAAATCATTAAGTGATTTGAGAATATTCATATTCCAATCGTTTTTAATCAGTCAGGAGCACTGACGTTTGCTCAAATATTCTTCTTATTCATATTGTATGAGTGCTTCGTTTTGTTTTATTTTACTATTGTTTCGTTTAAGGTTGAAAGCTTCTTAAAAKTGAAAACAGTAACTTTTGATTTGAACGATTATTACAATAGAAACTCATAACAAGATGGGAAAATATTTTTTTTCTTCAAAATTTCGCACGTCCCAGAAGTCGTGTGATGTCAAACAATAAAACTTTAACAATGAGATAAAAAGAACCAAAAAGAAATGAGAGGAGAGAGAAAAATGAAAATGCACGTCCCGKTTGGTGTATCAACACAGTCAGTAGCTTATATTTTACACCTCTAAAAAAAGGAGTCACTGGCAAAATCAATGAAATATTGGGATAAATTACAATGAAAAAATTATTTACTTCTGTAAGCAGGGATTCTCAGTCATCCCATACTCCAACAGAGAAAACATATGCATTTTTTATATGAAATCCCCCTTGCATTTAGTATTTATACTGAATTTTAATGCATTACAYATTAAAGGAATGYCTTAATGCGTGTTCTTCCTTTAATTTCTTTAACTAATCGCATTGTATCTCTCCACAGCGGTCAAAATGAACGGTGTCGTTAAAACAGATGCTTCAGACTCAACCGGAAGGGCGTCACCGGTGATGTCAGAAGCAGGCAAGTCATTCACAATGGAGCAGAACCTGCAGCAACCGGGGACTGGACCTGCTGTCCATTTAAATGGATCAACGCCATCAGCGAATCAAGAAAATGTACAGGTAATTTATATTGTGTGTCAATCTTTCTCATGTCGAATCATTGAATGGCATTTTCTTGGGATCCCTGTGGATGTGGCTCCTAGGCGTGGTTGGTAAGGGATGGCCGACGTGTTGTTTGTCCATTCGCTAAAATATGTGCAAYTCGATTAAGAAAGCAAACTTACCCAAAAAGACTTCCTGCATACTTTCAAGTCATATAGGAATGTAAAAGCACTTTTTTGTAAATTTATTTAATCTGATCGTCGAGTAAACCAAAAGAAATGATCACTGACTTATTTAGCCGCCTTGTCGAGTTTCGTTTCGATTCTGATCATATTTTGTAAAAACTTGATATATTTGTATTTCACAGGTCAGCGTGTATCCAGTGCAACTACAGAAAAGTAACGGTAGCCTGGGGCTTAATATCATTGTAAGTTGCGATATAACAAATGCTAGCAATTGTAGTAACWCTATTTACTTTTAAACAGTCGAGTAAACACAAGGATAAAACAATTTTTAATCGAGATTACGATCTCCCAGCCGAAGTTTTAATCATAATCATTTTGATATAATCAAAAATATCATACATTAATTATATTACAGCAAAACAGAAATATGCGAAAATCGTTTATATAAAACTTTTTATGAATAAGTTATACATTAACGAAGAATATATAAAAGTTGTAAACAACGTTTTAAAAAACAAATAAGCAAAATGAGGGGGCAACCGGGTTTGAACCGGTGACCTCTCGATCTGCAGTCGAATGCTCTACCACTGAGCTATACCCCCAATGTGCTTGAGAAGAGCGTGTTTCTCTGCTATATATTTTGAAAAGCTGTAGGTCCCATTATTTCACTTTTGGGAATTGATTCTTATAGATGTTATTCGCAGTCTCTTCACATAAGAATTCGTTTTTGTTGTGATGTGAGCCTTTCAAATTGAGTCAGTTATTCTAAAGTGACATGTAAACATCACTAGCTGCTTTCTAGTTCCGCTTTATGAATWTCAGATGATGCATGCTTCAYTGACTTTTGATCTAACTCACGAATATRAATTTACGCGATTCTATTCGAAATTCGCGCATAAGAATAAGATCAAATTTAATAAACAGGTTATAACTGGTTTTACTAACAATTTGAATTGGATTGAAGGGTGGAATTGAACTTGGAGGTATTTACGTGAAGACCATGGCTCATGATGGACCAGCGGCTTTYAGTGGTAAAATAAGCATAGGTAAGATWTTGTTCATATTCATATTGTTTTCGACCATGAGATATTCTCTCCGCTAAGATCCTTTCTTTTCTTTTCTATTCTCTTTCGTTCATTCATTTTCCCATCTGTTCTCTCATTTTCTCTTAGCTTGGAACTTCTTTTGTATTTTACTTTTTTTAATCATTTCATTTAACTCTCTGTTTTTTTTATATCGACGTCAATCTTCACTTTTGTTTGTTGTCTTTTAATCTTTTTTTCTTTTTTTCTCATATCGCACTTTTTTGCATCTATTTTTTTACAGGTGACAGAATACTTGAAATCAACGGAAACAGCCTTGAAGGCATTTCCAGGCAGGACGTGAGTACATCGTTGTATAATTTAAGCGTGCTCTAATTCAACTGGAACAGTCTTATTTGTATATTTTGGTTGCATTTATCACTACATTTGGTTGACGTCTTTGTGCTTTGTGTGCATCAAAATGCGCAACAGTGCGATCTAATTCACGGTAGTTTCCATTTATTGCTCGTGTATTGTTGATTTTCAGGCTGTCAATCTACTACGAACAGCTCCTCAAGTATGTACTTTATTAATCGAAAGCTGCGTGGCTGCTCCGGCTACACCAAATGGCAAACCCGCGGTTCCTGGTAACTACTCAACGACAGCATTCCATCAGCCAAACAGATCGCAACCGTACACAGGTGAAGAGTATCAGTACCAGGACCCTTCCGGATCACCTCAGCACCAGGCCTACTCTCCAGCATACGACCAGATGGGGCCTATTGACCAGTATAGCGAGGACACATCAGTAGTGAGTATTCTTGCTAAAAACGTGTTGTATTTCTTTGGTTGGGAGGCTAGGACAATGACTAGGTCCTACGCCTACTCGACGCCTTATGGCCGAGGTCCTGGTACTGTCTCTATGCCTGGGTTCCACTCTAGGAACCAATCTAGGAACCAATCTAGGAACCAAGCATCTGCTCGGTCTTCATATAATGATTATGATTCAGATTATTACTATGGGGCAGATACGCCGTCTAGATACCAGTCTCTCCATCCCGATGCTTATAATCTTGATTGGGAGTCTGACAATCAAAAACGGTTTCGTACAATATCGATGGGAAGTGGACGTGACTCTGAAGTTTACACTGAGTCTGGGTACCAGAGTCAGGTCCAGATTCCATCATCAGCATATACGTCACCGATAGTACCAAATATTAATGAAACCATAGATAATAGAAATAGAAAAAGCAATTTACTAGAGCTTAAGCTATATAAGTACGAAGAAAAACGAGAAAGCGTAGATTCTAGCTTCTTTAGTAGCGCTACAAGGGAAAATAGTGTTGATGATTTCTCGTCGTACGTTGAGGGTCAATCACAAGTACCCGACGAYTACTTACCTCGTGGTCAACGAAAACCGTCGCTCCCAAAAGACCAACCACACTTAGTTGACAGTGAGGAGATGCGACATTTATACCCTGGAGAAGACCCTGGACTAGTTGAAAAGTTTTTCTCTTATCTTGGCTTTGAGTCAGAAAATCAGTATCCAGGACAAARTCAAAGTGAATATACTCAACAAGTACATCAAAGCAATGGGAAAGGTTATGAATCTCCAATAGATGAAGTTGATGAGCCGAAAAGTGCGCAACCAGTTGAAATGAAAACTTTTAAGCGTCTTGAAAGTTTAGACAGTGGTAACTTCCACGCAGGACCTTGCAGCAGTGTTGATCATGAATCTGACGATCAGCGGAGATATCAGTACAGCAAGACACTACAATCACAGGACCGACATGAAATGGAGTTGGATTCAACCGGCAGAAAGAGATCACAGGGAGAGGCAACAAAACGTGAAACATTTCAGAAAAGCAGGTCAAAAAGTAAAACATTTGATGATGACTTCTCTATGTATGACGATGACAATGTTGGACTTTTTGGAGAAGTCATCGAAGTTCCGGAAGAAAAACCAAAAAGTCTACCCAAAACGAGAAAGTTTTCTTGGTTTGGCAGTAGTAGAGATTCTGACACTGCTGAGGATCGCAAAATGTCAGTCGGGGAGTCTAGTTCTGAAAAGAAAATGGACATCAATAAAGGCAAAGAGAAGCAGTCATTGCAGAACGGAAGTGAAGCGAGCACTAAAGCAGAAAATATCCAACATAAACAACAGTCRCCTACTAAAAAAAGCTACTTTTCATGGTTTTCTGATAATGAACCTGTCAAAGACCAAAGCACGAGAACGGCAACAGATAACAACACAACAAGTGGAGGAGGATTCTTCAGTGGACTCTTTGCAACACAAACACCAAAGCAAGAAACTGTTGAGCAAAAGCAAGCAAAGGACGTTGTAATGCCAAAGACAAAAGATGAACAACAAAGTARGAGTACAAGCGCGCCTAGGGYAGAGGAAAAGGGCGCTCAACTAAGTAATACTGGTATTCCAGGATTAACTCAGTCATTTGCGGAAGAGTTTCAGATGCCAAGAACACCGTCGTCTTCACAACAAAGCCTTGCTAAAGAAAGAGATATTCGAAAATCAGCTGTTAGTAGAACAACTGTACAAGATGCAAATAAGAAAGGGCCGCCGGCAGACAGTAAAGTAAACAACGAAYGAAAAAGGCCATCTTTTGCTGAGAAAGGTACTACTGTTGCTGACAAAGAAACTAAAAGAAATAGTATTCAAACCAACAGTGGAGAGAAAACACCTAAGAAAGAGGAACTAAAGAAAATTGATAACTCTGAAAATATAGAAAATCAAAAATCAGGTTACTTTTCCTGGTTTGCGGGAACACCAAAGGAGGAAATTAAAAAGGAAGAAGCAAAGGTCGAAGAAGAAAAGGGTGGATTTTTCGGTGGATTGTTTGGCGGATCCTCGCAAACACAACAGAAACCCCAACCGCAATCTCAAGCWCCCAAGGTGTCAACAGAAACAAATCAAAAACCTGTTGATGCCACTAGGAAAGATTCAACAAAGGTTAACGAAGAAGATCAAGGTAAAGGCTTTTTCGGTGGTCTCTTTAGCTCAGGGCAGACTACAGAAAGGAATACCGAACAAGAAAAAGTACCACAAACATCAACTAAACAACCTATAAGACAACAAAGCAATGATCGAGCTATGGTGGATGTACAGAAATTAGCTGATACCAATAAAGAGAAAGACAAACAGGTTGAAAAAAAATCATGTGATGACACTACTAAAAAAACCTTMGATGACACTAAAGAAAAAATCGTTGATACAGTCCAACCTGCAAAGGATCAGGATATTCCCGAGCAGTTGAGTGCCGAGAGTAGACCGGATGACAGTAGTGTTTTCAATAAAATGGTCTATGGCTTCAGAGGTATGTTTCGTAGATCAGAGACTCCTGAGGAAATAGCCAAAAGAGAGATGGATGAGCACAAGAAGCGACTCGAGGAAAAAGAAGCTCGACGAAAAGAGAAGGTTGCACGGTACTTACAGGAGTTTCAGTCCCAATCAGAGATTTCTGAGACAGCTSAAAAGGTAGTTGATATTAAGTCAAAGCCACAGGACGTTGGTGATGACGATAAAGAGGTCAAAAGAAAAGAAAAGATTTCAAAACTGGTGAGAGAATTCTCAACAAAAGACGAACCTTCTAACTTATCAAAAGACATCCCTTTAACGGTATTCAGTGAACGGAAAGGATCAGCTTCACCKTATATGAAAACTAGACCTGATAGTGTGCAGCAAAAATTATCAGAACGGCAAATGTCAGGATCTTCTAAACATTCAGAACGGAAAAGAGGAAAACGTACCAGTGACATAAAGAAAGAAATTTCATCAGACGAATTAGAAAAAGAAAAGGCGGAAAAAGAAAAAGAGGAAAGAGAGGCGGAGAGGCAACGGAGAATTGCCTTATTCGTAAAACAATTTTCCACTAAAACAGAAGAAACTAACTCTAGGCACGGGCGTACTGCTAAAGGCAGTTATAAGCGATCACCATCAACAGAAGAAGGTAGTTTACCGCGGCGTCGCTCATTCTCGGGAAATGACTCCACATTTGTGAYTGATGAACGAAGGTCCTTATCACAGAGCGAGAAAAACGAAAAAGAGGAAGAGCGGCGCAAAAAGATTTCAAGATTAGTGAAAGCTTTTTCGTCGCATACTCTGGATCTAGAAGARAGAGAATATCATGATCGTGACTCAATGGCCCCGATCTCGAGACGAAGAAGCGAAAGAGAAATWCAAAGACAAGAACTGGTTTCGCAATARGTGAYAGAGTTTTCTTCAAGTGGCCCAAAAACAAGGCAATCACTAAGCACCACGAGTAGTCGCAGTACAGAGTTACCCAGCTCAGATCGACGAAAGAGTTTGGATGAAGCAGAGCGGCGAGAAAAAATTACCCGTTTGATGAGAGAGTTTTCATCTGAGTACATAGGGCCAGATTCAATTACAGGCAGTCGTTCAATGGATTTTTCTCGCGAAAAAGAGGGCATTTCGGATCATCACAGACACGTCACGTCACGGCCAAAATCATCAGAGACAACTAGGAGGGCGAAYCAACTGAAACGACATGAAAACGTTCCTCATTTGGGTCACGTTGAGCTTGATGGTTCGCCGTCAGTAGACGGAACTTCACAAGCGCAGAAGCAGGGGATGTTTTCGGGTAAACAAAAAAGCGTTGTCGATATAACTAATGAAGCATACGCGTCGCTCGGTGCTCACGATGGACCAAAACAAGTGCCTGTCCCTACTTTCCGTTATGCCTGGCAAAGGGAGCAYGCTATCTTCCGTCCATCAACYTTGAAGGTTGACAAAAAAGGAGAAACTACCACTAAATCTAAAGACATAAACGGAAATYATCATGCTCAAAGAACCCCTAAYATACGAGAACCGACCAGTGAAAATTCACGGTTTGAAAGTGCCGAGTCTCCAATTTCACATGCTATTTWTCGTAGTTCGGAAAGGAAGCAACAGAAGGTCACGTCGCTTTTTGGAGATGATGATGAACCAYTCATTGTCGCAAAAGAACTTAAAGCTGAAGATTTTGATGTTGTAGAGCCTAGACGAAACTCTGCCATTGTTAATGAAAGCTATGACATTCCTTCCTGGAAAGATAACGAGGACAAGCTCAATGATCAAATACATGAATCGTTTTCCAATTACGAAAGCGATACCGCGGGTAAAAAGAAACCAAAGGAGTCGGCAGGTATCCSATCCAAACCATCAGGCAGGAGTTTCAACGTTAGTGAAAGTTCAAAATCAATAAGGGATCGCGGAATTCAAAAATTATCATCTACAAAGATTCCKAAAGTAGAACTTTCTYRTGATGGTGTTATAACCGATCATCGAAAAGAGACGGAAAGGGCTTTCAGAATGGCCGAGAATGACGGTAAAATGCGGAAGGAATTAGAAGACCAGTCATATTCGTTTGCTGAAGAAATTCAAAAAATTGACAAACAAATTAAAGCTCTATCAGAAGAAACACAAGTAAAACCCAATAACACTGAATATGCATCAGAAGAAGTTTCGGAAGGCTTTGTGCGGACCCTTGAAAGAAAACGGCGTAAAATKGACGAAACATGGGACGGGATAATGAAAGACATTGATCAAGAATTAGTAAAAAGTCAAGAACACGGATTAACCACTCAAAACTATCAAAGTGACTCGTACCCTATGGGKACAAAGCCTAAATTGTRGGAAACGTCTGCGTCTAGTTCTAAAGAAAGATCTTCACTGATAAAGGAAAAYTATAGTGAAGCAGAGGTCTCGAGAAACCACACAACTCACGATAATGTTCTGAAAGAATCCAATGATTTGCAGACACAAAGTCCTGATAGTACTAAAGTTTCTGATGCCCTACCAGCAAAAAGAACAGAGAGAGAAAAGCAACAAAAACAAGAAGAATTTGACGACATGATTAAAAAATTCAAAAACAGATATGCGACYGATAAGAAAGTCCAAATACCTCAAAAAGYAATCATCTCGAAAGAGTTATCTTTAAAGAATGAAGTTAGCAAAGACACCCTGTCAGACAGAATCCATGAATACAGAACGGACGAAAGTGTCACGAAAGTAAGAAATGTGGAATCTGTCAAGAGTTCATTACCAAATGTTGAAKCTGGACATGAAGTTCCTCCAAAGAATATTGGACTGTTTGAAGATATCGAAATGGAAATCGTACAGGAAGAGCCAAAGGGAACCTTTACGTCAGTGTCTGATCTTGTATCAAAAGTGAAAAGTCCATCAACTCAACGAACAAGAAATATTCATGAGGTCAAGGAGGCAACAATTAACACAACTCAAAAAGAGGAAGCTAAATTGGATAAAGAGAAATTGTTGCGTACAAAAGAGGTAGCTGAGCTRGACAAACACAAAAATATAGGAAAGGAGCCTCTTCTTGAACAAAAAGTGACTGGCAAAGTGCTGGTAGATTCCAAAGAGCAGAAGATAAATAAATCTARAATCAAGGAAGCGGATAAAACCTCTTCAACGGCTATAAAAGACACTACTTCATRTGGTAAAGATAATACTGTACTAAAATCAGACCTGAAGACTGAAAACAACAACAAGGTAGAGGAGAGCAGTTTTACCACAATGGCATTAAAGATGTTTGGATTTGGGCACCAAGAAGCAAAACCGAAGCCGCAACCTGAAAAGAAAGCAGAAGTGCCGACTAAAATAAACGAAAAGGTTACTGAGACAGCTYTTACAAAGAGGAGTACTGTGGATACTTCCAACARTGCTYTTGCTACTCCTGAGCTAGCTATTCCAAAGAAGAACGTRGCTGATGCTTCTAAAACATCGTCTGAAACAAACTTRGCTGCAAATCAAAATCTTCAAAAGGTCGCTRCATTAAAAGAAGAACCAAAGAAGGTAAATACAAATGAAACGTTAGAAAAAGCATCGCCAAAAGASAGCGAAAAGAAGAAAGCTGAGTCAAATCAAGAAAAAATAATAGCCAAAGAAACAAAGCGAAACGAGGAAAGCTCAATCGCAAAGTTTTGGTCAAGCATTACTGGTTCACCGCATTCACAKATAGATCACGATAGTGGCAAAAACGAGAAGAAAGCGAAAGAGAAGCCAGTTGATGCTGCAAATYAGATCCAAGAATCAAAAATTGCAGGAGTAGAAAAAAGGYGTGCTATTGAACTGAGTGCAAAACCTACRACCCTCTCTAAAGGGGCGCCGACAGAAAATCAAAAGCCTGRCCAGGAATTAAAYCCTTCTTCGGTAGAAAAGGTCGACAGCAAAGTAAAGAAAGATCAGCCACAAGATCGTAAGGAAAAAGACGAAGGCTACTTTGCAAAGCTGGTTTTCAAAATGGCTGAGTCAATGGAAGAGCAAGAAAGGCAGGAGAAAGAAGCTGCAAAYTTGGAGCAAGTAAAGGCTGGTAAAKAAGATGAAATTGAAAGTAAGACTAAAAGCGCCGSCGCAGTAACAACCTCACAGATTAGTAAAGGATCATTTGGAGCACAGATCGAAAAGCCAAAAGTMGTTCTTGAAGAAGMGAATGATGTGTCCTCTGTCAAGAGTGACTTAAGAAAAGAAAAAGAGAAAAATGACAAGGAGACAAAAAGGGATGAATCAGGATATTTTTCCAAACTAGTATCCAAGCTTACAGAGCCCGCAGAACATCACGCGGTAGAGGTAAAAGGCAAAGAGCCCAAAATCGATGAAGTAGATCAAGTAGCTGAGAAAACGAAATCCTTACAAAAGCCGAAACCTGAAACAGATGCGTCCAAAAAGCTAACTGGAGTCAATGAGAAGGCACAGAAACCAGACCTAGAGAAAGAGAGTAAAAAAGATCAGTCTCAGAACCAAGGTCTGTTTTCACGAATAGCCTTTGGSCTGTCCGAGTCAAAACCAAATGAGAACGAAAAAGTCCAAAAAGGGAAAGCGAGTGACATAGAAAAAACGGCAAAACTGGTGAAGTCCGATGAATCTAAAAAAGTTGAAGTTCAAAAGAACAAGGAGTCAAACCAATTGCAAACGACTGGTGATGAAAAGAAAAACAAACAAACAACAAAAGAACGTCATCCCAAAGAAAAGGAGAAAACACAGCAAAAGCGTGGAGGATTTTTCTCAAACTTCGGGTTTGGTGCTACTGAATCAGATTCAACTGAGAAGAAAGAGGCACCTGCACAAGTAAAAGAAGAAGCATCCACACTTAAATCCCAGGAAAAGATAAAAAAGGATGAGAAAAAAACAAGAACTTCTGAAGCTTCTCCTATGCCAGTACGCGATGAAAAGGATTTGAAAGAAGCGGGGAAAATGCCGAAGACTGATGATTCTTCACAAAAACAACAGGACAGGAATGAAGGTCTTTTCTCAAAGATTGCATTTGGATTRTTGGACTCCAGTGACAATTCCGAYAAAAAAGCTCAAGTCCAGGATGTCTCTAAGATGCAGACCTCTAAAGTGCAGCCTRCGAAGGCAGTCCCAACGACAGAAGCTAAAGMGAAGARTRTCCCAGTTAAAAAGCATGACAATATCCAAGCAACCGAAGYCGTTCCWAAAACACCCGCAAGCAAGGAGATACCAAAGAAAGAAGAGGCCAAACAAGGATTCTTTTCGAGATTCGCTATGCAACTAGTTGAAGAGTCTAAACCTGAGGAGAAGCCGAAAGACCGTGTTGTTCAAGATAAACCAAGTGAAAGCAGTTCTTCAAGTCAAGTCAAATCCACTAGCAAATCATCGCCTAAAGAAAGCTCYTCATCSAAAACGTCATCGGAAAACAAATTTCTCAAAGGAAATGAAATGAATGCTGCTAAAGAACCTCCGCAGCCAAAAGAAGGCAGCATTAAACCTGAGCCCTTAAAACAGCCCTCAAAACAAGGATTGTTTGCAAGACTGACTATGCAACTTGCTGAGACACCAAAAGATGAAACTGCAGTAAATAGCAAGGTCGACAAACCAACAAAGCCCGTCATTGTCGCGGAAGATAAGGTGAAGCAAAAACCAGTACCTACCACTGAGAAAAAGCCTTTACCAGAGCAAACTACACCAGCTCCTACAGCTACGGTTAACAAGGTCAACGACAATGCCCAGCCAGAAGTAAAACAAGGACTGTTCGCACGATTTGCGATGCATATTGTTGAATCACCGCCCGAGGAACCAAAACATGCCAAAGATGAGAAAAAGGTTTCTGTTTCTGACAGCAAAAGGACTGACACAAGCAAAACACCATCAGTAAAAGCGCCATCAAGAGAGGATGATAGCAAGCTAACGGCTAGTAAGGACAATTCAGATGCCCGAACTCAAGCAGAGCAACAATCTAATATTGCTACATCTGAACCATCTAAGAAAGAAGAAGTAAAGCAAGGGCTTTTTGCGAGATTTGCAATGCAACTTTCTGAACCGCCAAAAGACGAACAAAAACACACGACAGAAATCAAGCAGAACCAAAAACCTAAAAACATCACTACTAAAACGTCAAAAGAAAATATCGAAACTACGTCGAAAATAGATTCAGTGAATATCCGACAAAGCACTAGAGCTACCAGTGAAAACGACCAAAGAAAGGAAAAGGCAAAATCTAGTATAACTACCTCTGAGCAGCCAAAGAAAGACGACACAAAGCAAGGGCTATTTGCTAGATTTGCAATGCAACTTGTTGAACCGTCAAAAGAAGAGCAAAAACACGAGACAGAAAGCAAGCAGAAACAAAATGCTAACATTACCATTGCTAAAAAGATAAAGGAAAATACCGAAATTATGTCGAACGTAGAATCAGTGAATATCCCAGAAAGCACTAGAGCGACTAGTGAAAATGACCAAGGAAAGGAAAAGGCAAAACCTAGTATAACTACCTCTGAGCAGCCAAAGAAAGACGACACAAAGCAAGGGCTATTTGCTAGATTTGCAATGCAACTTGTTGAACCGTCAAAAGAAGAGCAAAAACACGAGACAGAAAGCAAGCAGAAACAAAATGCTAACATTACCATTACTAAAAAGGCAAAGGAAAATACCGAAATTATGTCGAACGTAGAATTAGAGAATATCCCAGAAAGCACTAGAGCGACTAGTGAAAATGACCAAGGAAAGGAAAAGGCAAAACCTAGTATAACTGCTTCTGAGCAGCCAAAGAAAGACGACACAAAGCAAGGGCTTTTTGCGCGATTTACCAGTCAGCTAATTGAAACACCGAAAGAGGAACCCAAAGTTCAGCCTAAAAGGCAACCGGAACAACATTTTCGAAAAGAAAACACAGAAAAGTCTCCAATACCACCGACAGACAAAACGTTGCTAAAAGATAAAGATATGAAGAAAAGTAAAGCCGACACGACCCAGGAAAAGACAATGTCAAGTACTAACGTCAAAGGAAAAGAGAAGACACAGTCTGAACAACCGAAGAAAGAAGAGCCTAAACAAGGCCTCCTTGCTCGATTTGCAATGCAACTGGTTGAATCTCCTTCAGAGGCTCAAAGTAAAGATCACAATGACCGAACAATTCCCGAAGCTGAAAAGGCAAAGCCTGAAACAGCACAATCTAAGCAACCGGCAAATAGATCTCCAATGCAAAAAGATGATGAAAAGGTAAAGCCAAGTAAAGGTGATGTAGATTCTAAGGAAAAGGTGCAAGCAGGTGCAGCCGCTTCAAGACACCCGAAAAAAGAAGACGCAAAACAAGGAATTTTTGCTCGCTTAGCTATGCAATTAGCCGAGGAGCCCAAAGAGGAACCACAAATTGTTGACAAAAGGACACAGGATCAACAAAGTGCTACTAAACAGGAAGAAGTCATTAAAGCCCAAGCTCATTTAGTGTCAAAGGAAGCAAACCGAGGAACAGAAAAAGTCACAGAAAAGGTTAATGCTGGTACAAAAGGCATAATTAAGGAAACACCAAAAGATAGCGCAGCTGCAAGTGAACCAGCAAAGAAGGAAGAGGTAAAACAAGGTCTTCTTGCAAAACTGGCTTTGCAGCTTGCAGAAACACAGAAAGACGAGACAAAAGTMAAAACGGAAAGTAAAACAGTGAAACCTGAGAAGAATAAGATGAAAGAGAAAACAGAACTGAGTTCAACTGCACCAGAGGAGGTCTCGTCTCAAAAGGTTAAGAAATCGCGCGAGCAGGAATCAGCCAAAGAAAACAAAAGTAGAGGAAAACCAGAGCCTAAGGAAAATACTGTGAAGCAGAGTGCAAAAGAAGTCCAATCCACACCTAGAGTCACCTCCACTCAACCAACACAAACAAAAKGAGATGAAGCAAAACAGAGTATCCTTGCACGACTTGCCATGCAATTTGTAGAGCCACAACATCAAGAGGAAAACAGACAAAGTACTACCGAAAGTAAGCAGGAAAAACGACCAGGACATCAGARGATGACAAAACAAACGGAAGCCATAAATAATGAGATAATAAAAGCCAAACAAACACAGAGAGAGGTAAATGACACGGCGCCACCTAAAATAAGCGAAGAAAAAGTTATAGATAACAAGAAAGAAACAATTCCAAAGCGAGAAGAAGCAGGCGATAGTTTATTTTCAAAGATTGCATTGAAACTTGCCGAGTCTGTTCATCAAGAAGAGCAACCTGAGGTTAAGAAGAAAGACGTACATGAGTTTGCACGACAACAAAAAGCTGAAGTGACTATAACAAAAGACTCAGTATCTACCTCTAATGCGCATGACACTAGAAAAATATTAACAAAGGTTCGAGAAAATTCTGAGCGTCAGACAACAGAGAAACCTCCACCGAAAAATAACGACAGAGATAACGAAAAGACGTCAAAAGACAAGATTCGTACTGAATCACAAACAAATGTGAAAAGCATAAAAAATACAAAACTGAACTCTATGCATAATTTGACCACTGACATAAAAGAAAAGGAAAACAAAAGAGGTACGCCTACACAAAACACATCAGGGAGTTTATTCTCGCGATTAGCATTGAGTTTGAGTGAAGCTATACAACAACACGAAGAAGCGGAAACGGTAGTCACCGAAAAGCAGGAAATAAAAAAGCACGCTGTTACTACTGAGAAGTCTAAAGCTGTACCAAAAGTCCCAACGAAATCTGCGGAAGATGATGGCTTATTTTCTAAATTAGGAATATTTGACTCAGAACCTGCTGGCTCAAGTGAAACTGGAAGACAAACACGGATGACTGCACCAAAACAGAGTAGTGGCCAGAAAGTTCACACACCCTTGCAAAGTGTCAAACAGAACGATGCCAAAGAATCGATCAGAAAACAAATACCAAGGGAATTACAGCAAAGTAGCGGACGGAAAGTGATACCCTTGACAAGTGAAACCATCAATTACACTAAAGAATCAAAAGATAGCAAAGCTGTGCAAAATGAAAATCAAGACAGCAATACGTCGACAACGTTGTTGGCATTATCTAAAGCAAAGAAGTCCGATGATCAAAAAGTGGTACATCCTGGTTCAAACGTTTCCCATGCTGATCCTGTGACAACCACTAACGCAGATGGTCCTTCCTTAGAAAGAAAAGCATCGCGACAGGATACAATAACAAAACCTGTAGTTTCAACAAATCAGCAAAAGGAAAATACAGCTTCTTTAGAAGTAAAGAAAGGTTTTGCTAAAGAAAAAGAAAAACAGTCCACGCTAAAAGGCCAAGAAAGTACAAGTTCACAAGAAAGGGCGATGTTTGAGCATAAAAAAGCTTTGTCTTCCAAAAAGCCATATGAAGAGAAAAATATGCGGCCGGAAAGTAAAGATCCTAAAATGTTTTCTCTTACACGCCAACTATCGCATCAAAAGCAAGAAACAGCGACTAAAATGACAACAGAAAAGCGTGTAAAAATATCTGATAACAAAGATTCTACTTCTGAACATAAAAAGGCTTTCAAACCATCTAAAAGACAGAATAGCTTGAATTCGGAAAGTAATGATGCTGGAGCAATTCCAGTTCCTCGTCAAACATCACAACAAAGGCAAGAAACATACATTAAAGCAACAACAAGAAAGAGTGCAATGAGAGACGATAACAAAGAGACAATTCAAAGTCCATCTATGCATCGTATCAGGGATAGGGAAGTGAAGGCGAACACGAATGAGCCACCACAAAGCGAAGGATATTTGTCTTTGTTTGTGTCACGTGTAAAACAAGAATATGATAATTATCAGCAAGAACAAATAAGATCTAAAACTCAAACAATTGATGATGCGGCCCTTGAAGAAATGGCAGCAATGTTTGCAAAACAAAACGCAGAGGCACGATTAGCAATGCAGCATAACAAAGAGGAATCACCAAAAACGGCAGCGAGTAAATCAAACAAGGAGAGTAAAGACTCACAGACTCTACCAGCTTTTCAACGGAACACATCCTTGAGGAGTGTCGCGCAAAGAGAAGTCCATCCTACACCAACAAGAAATGCACCTCAAACAGAAAAGGAGGACATTTCAATAATTCCGAACCAACAACCAACAAACCAGTATTCAGGGAACGTCCAGAGGCATCCTCCTACATCTAAACCACTAAGGAAGCCTCCTATGCCTCAAGAGAAGAAKGTTCCAGACAAACCTACAACAAACGAAGGACTGTTCTCTTCAATTGTCTCAAGGGTAAAACAAGAATATGATAATTACCAGCAAGAAATGACTAAATCGCGGCCAGTGATGACAGATGATKAAGAACTTGAGGCAATGGCAGCCATGTTTGCTAAACAAAATGCAGAGGCCAGGATGTCAATGCAGCAAAAACAGGGAGAGACTGCTTCAAATGGTAACGAGTCAACGGCAGGTGCAAAACGTCCCCAGCAGCATGAAAAACAAGTGACCGAGAAAGTGTCAAAAGCGATTAACATAAACGCGAATGCTACGAATGCAGCTAGGAGCAGACGAGAAACTGAAGAAAAACGTGCACTACAATGGTCGGCAATAGTGATACAAAGAAAATGGAGAGCTATTAAAGCKCGCCGTGAAATGAAAAAGCGTCTTATTGAGGAAGCTGCTGCAAATTTGATACAAAAGCAATGGAAAGCATCTAAAACTAGTAGGGAAGCCAAGCAAAAACTGGCTGAAAAGTGGGCAGTATTGATGATCCAAAAACACTGGAGAGCTGCTATGGCACGTCGAGCACTGAAGCAGTGTTTGGTGGAAGATGCTGCTGCCCAGCTCATCCAGAAAAGATGGAAATCAGTGAAAGCCAACCGAGTGCTCAAGCAAAAACTGGCTGA